TGAATAAGTAAAGTTCCTGGTTGAACATTTGGATTTTGATTTGTCCAAATTTGTGCAAGACCACTAGCAAGTGCAAGTGGTTGTGCAACAAAAACATTTCTTTCAAGATAGAGACTATGAATTCCACCAGTTCCATTATTAATATTCGTAACGCCCGGATAATATAGAAAGAAATCACATCGAGTTAAAATTTGCGTATCGTTAAGAAACTGAAAAAAAAATATCATTTCAATTATATTCATTATTTCTTTTTACCACAAGATAAAAACGAGTTTGATAAGTATTCAAAGTTTCGGCATAAACTATTTTTGCAATTCCATATTCTAGAAAGACAAAGGAAATATTTTTTTGTTTTTATAAATTCATATAAATCTTATTCATACGTCGATTATATGATGTAAGATAGTTTTCAATATTTTGACGAATAGCTGTTGTTAATGGTAATGAAACATTAGCAATATATTGATGAGTATCACGTTGTGCAACAGATAATTGTCCACTAGGATACAAATCATATTTTATTGGTTGCATTGTAGAAAAAATCGACTTTAATTGAACTTGTATTTGTTCTTGTGTAATAACTTGACTAGGTACAACCATATAATAAACTCTTGTTATTAATGACATATCCAAACCAAAACGGGGTTCAATTAATGTAGATGAAACTAAATAAAAAGAAGAACAAGAGACATTTTCAAAAAAGAATGAAATCTTGTCTTTAAATTTACCTGTACTACTAAGTCCCGTTCTTTGTAATGCTGATGTAATTAATGTTTCGAAATTATCATGATTAAGATCAGCTTGTAAATAATTTCCCCTTAAATCAATAAATGATGCTGTATAACTTAATGGTACTTGTGCGACATAATTATTCGGTGCATCACATAAACCATTTAATGGTTGCATTAAATTTGGATTAAAACATGCACTTGGTACGCTATATCCATCAGATGTTATAACAATATAAGTTATTGTTGTATAAAATTGACTAAAAAAAACGTTTTATTAAAAAAAAAGAGATGTTTTGCAATTTACTTGATCGAATAGACAAAATATTGTTGTAATTGTAAAATATAAACATTTGCATTTGTTAATCCTTGTTTAGCTGGATTTTGCCAATAATCAACCAATGCAGTTTGTGCTAATGCTCGACTAATTTTACCAGTAAATGTTATTAATTGTACATCACGTTGTTTAACAACATTGCTTGGTATTATATTTGATACAAAAGTCAATGGAATTTGACTATAATAAGGACCAGTAAATTGTGTTGGTGATAAAATTAATGCTGATAAATATCTTCCATCAAGTTCTTGATCATTATAAAATAAAAATGCATAAACTCTTTCAATTGTTGATAATGAACTTGTATTTAAATATGGATCTTCTAACATAACTCTCACACTATTACTTGTAATTGTATCTAAAATAAATACAAAATTTAATATATATATATATATATACATATTGATTAGTGGCGTTTTTTTCCTACTTTGTTGATTATATGTTGTTAAAATTAATCTTTGTAAATAATCACGATCATTTATTGTTAAATGATTTGTATAGAAATATGAATAAGCTTTTGCTAAACGATAAATGCGTGTTAGTATTCGTTGCATTTGAACAGATATTAAAATTTGATATAATTGATTATTTAATTGTAATGGACTATCAAACCATGTACCATTTTGATGTTGAATAAATATATTAGGTAACCGATAGATTTGTCTAAAACAGAAAAAAGGATTAAAAATAAATAACAAGTAAATATATTACCCAAGATTATCAATAGCTTCTTCAACACCGAATATTGTCATATTAATAGTATAAATTCCAGCTTGTTGTAATGCATTATTTAATTGTCTTTGAAGTCTAAAAGATTATTGTATTGATTTTAGTAATATTAATAAGATTTTTCTTAACTTACATTTGTGGTATAGGACATGGAGCATAAAAATCTTGAATACTATTTTGCATTGGAAGTATTTGTGTTTGATTTGAACATAATAATTGACTATTCGTTTGTGTTATAGTTGATATTAATATTGGATTTGATGTTAAATTACTATTTAATGTTTGATTATATGTCATTCCATTTATTGTTATTAGAAAATAGGCCGTATTTGCTGGTTGTCTAAATTTATTTATATATTTTTTTTAATTTTTAGAAAATATTAAATGAAAACATACCCTGTTGATGTAACACCTTGTTGAACACCTTTAAGCATAACAGTTACACTTGATTGTCCTTAGAAAAATAAATCTTAAATTATTTTTTTTATTTAGTAAATAGAAAAAACTTTACCTGTTGCTATTGAAACAGCACTTGCAATTAAATTTGTCCATAATGATATTTCATTAAATGGAATACATAATTTTAATGGCAAAAGAATACTCGTAGATATATAAGGTGTACATTGTTGGTAAACACGATAGTTTACTGCATTGAGTATATCATTAATTGATGCTAATGGTTCAATATTTGAACCCAAAACAACTGATGAACCACTTGTTATTATAAAACTTATTCGTGTCATTAAATCACCGGATATGGTTGTAAAATGTTCAACTCGTAATGGAATTGCAACAAAATTTTCTAGAAAAAATAAAAAATATTAACTTTCTTTTTATTATTTTTCAAAATTACGTGTTGACATAATTGATATTCGATGTGTCGTATAATATGAAGAAATTGTTTGCATTAATAATTGAACATTACCATCGGTTATTGATGGAAAATAACCACAAATATCAATAATATAAGGATTAACAGAAGTCGATGGAGTACCAATAGCACCACACATAGCTGCATATTGTGCAGCTGTTGGTTGTTGTATTAGAATACCGGATGGAATTGTTGAGAATATAGTATAATTAAAATTATAGGTAATAACTTGTGATCTAAATCGAGCAAAAAATAAATTATTAAAAACAAAGGAAAACTATCTTACTGATTATGAAGCCCATATTGTTGTGATGTTAGATCAATTACACGTGTTATATTATTTAATGGAAGACGTGTTGCAGATATTTTACAAAGTGTTGAATATGTTTCGGATGAAGAACCTGTTACTAAACGTCGATTAGTTAATTGTGCAAATGAATAACGAATAGATTGACCAGCTAGAATTAAGAGAGAAAAATAGATTTTAATTTCGATACAATTAACTTTTTTTCTTTATACTCAAAGCAGTTATTCCAAATTGAGTTAAAATTGAAGAATCAATATCAATACGAGTATTATTAGTTGCTAATAACCATTGCCATCGATTTACTGATGGATTATAGATACCACTTGTCCAAAAATCTAATAATGAAAGTTTTTTTGAATTGTAATTTAAAAAGAAACAAAACAAACCTCGAGCTAAACCACGAGCAAATAAAGCTGGAATTAATTGTTGTTGTATTTCATCAATAGATTGAAACCAAACAAGTTGAGCTGATTTATCACTACAATCTTGTATAGCATTTAATTGACTGACAAGAGATGATTGTTGATTTATTTGATAGCAATATGGATAAAATGAGGTTGGACTAACAAGTGTAAATGGTGAATTACATACTAGAAAAATAAATTAAATGATATAATATTATTCTATGATCTATTTACTGAGTATAACATTCAAACTATTCCAAACTTGATCGACACATTGTGAGATAATTTCCCATGATGAACCTGGGAAGAAAATATATTTTATAAAATTCATCCGAGAAGAATTTTGTTTTTGTATTCAAAATAAAATACCTCCTGGTCGATCAATAGGAATAATAATTTGTCCTGGATAAGTTGTATTAGTAGGTGTAATTGTTGATTGACAAAGATTTCCAGTATATCCTGATGGACATAAACATGTACATCGACATCCTGTTGCATTTAGAATACGTGTACCATTATTTTGACATATAGTTAATGAACATATATCAAATGGATTTTCACATCGAGATCCTTTATTAAAAAATTGAAAAAATTTTTTTTATTTTTCTATAAATAATAATGTGCTTACCAGTAAATCCACATGGACATTGACAATTTAATGTATCATTTCGAATTAAACAAGTACCACCATTAAAACAACTATCAGTTACACAAAGTGGAATATTACAATTTAAACCTAAAATATTTAATTCTAGAGTATTCACTTTAAATCTAATTTTATTACCTGTAAATGATGGTGGACATGTACAAGTATATAATCCACTACCTAAATTCGTACAAGTTCCACCATTAAGACCTAAAACATGATTAAATATATTTCTTGAGAAAAAACAAATCATTCTATTAACATACATGGATTTGATGTACATACATCATATGGTGTTTCACATGAAGTACCTAGAGAAAACAAAATAAGTAAATATATTATCAAAACAAAAAGAAAAATTTCGAATGCTTACCAGTAAAACCAGGTTCGCATGTACATTGATATAAAATAGAATTTATATTATGACATGTACCTCGTACACATGGATTTGAACCACAAGGTGAAATAATTTCACAACTAAAATTATAGATTATAATAGAAAATAGAATAAAGAATTATTTTGAGACATACTAAACACCATAACGTCCCGATGTACATTGACAAATTTGTTGACCAGTCAATTGATTAACAATACATGTTCCATTGCCTTGACAAGGATTATTTGGACAATAAAGTACTTGTTGTGCACATCTTACACCTGTATATGATGGTGGACATATACATGTATAATTTGTTAAAGATAATGTTAAACAAGTTGAATTATTTAAACATGGATTGGAAGAACATGGTAAGAATGGTATATCACAATTAGGACCAGTCATTGATAATGGACATAAACATTGATATCCACCATTTGCAAGACTTACACATGTTCCTGTTCGACAAGGATTTACTGAACAACCAACAGATGTTATTTCACAACGAGAACCTATAAAAATTTTAAATTTAAATTAATTTAATATCGATTTCTAATTAAAAAAGAATTACCTGTAAAAGATATTGGACAAATACATTGCCAGAATGGATAATTTCCTATGGTTACACAACTACCACCATTTATACAAGGTGATGATCGACATGGTTCATAAATTTCACAATTTGTTCCATAGAAACCCGAATTACAAAAACATAAATATGATCCATAGGAATTTAAACATCTACCACCATTTGCACAAATACCTGGAATTGTTGTACATTCATTTATATCCGCACATCTTAAATTGAAGAAAAAGAAACAAATTAGAAAAATTATTCAATTCTATTCTCATTATTATACATACACTCCCATAATATATTGAAATCCAACTGGACAATTACATGTATATGAATAATTTCCATTTGCAATACAATTACCATTTAAACAAGGATTTGTTTGACAAGCATTTATTTGACATAATGCACCAGAATATGCATATGGACATTGACATTGACAAGTTATTGGTGATGTTACTAATGATGTACCAGCTGCACATGGATAAAAAGAGCATGGATTTATTTGAGTTTCACAATAACTTCCATTGAAACCTGCCGGACAAGCACATGTATATGTTGTAGGACCAGTTCGTACACATGTACCACCATTCCTACATGGATTGGATACACATGCATCATATGCTGTTGCACATGTTGTACCACTAAAACCATCTGCACATACACATGTATAATTAGTAGAATTTGCTGATGATACACATTGTGATAATGGTCCACGACATGGATAACTTACACAAGGATTACATGCTAATTGACAATTAACACCATAGTATGGCCATGGACATTGACATATATAATAATTTGATGTGGGTTCCATACATGTACCACCATTTAAACATGGTCGACTTAAACATACACTAAGACCTATTTCACAATTCAATCCTGAAAATCCACTTGGACATAAACATATATATGATGATGTACTTTGTGCTACACATGTACCTAAATTTTTACATGGTTGTGATGCACATGGTGCATATGGATATTGACATTGAAGACCAGTAAATAATGGTAAACATTGACATTGTGCACTTGGTGGTGTTGTTCCAAGACTAATACATGTACCATTATTTAAACATAGTAATGATGTACATTGATTAATTAATATTTCACAATTAACACCAGCATAACCAGATTGACAAACACATTGATATGTATTAAGTCCTTGTACACAAACACCATTATTTAAACAAGGTTTTGATGTACATGTATTAATTAATATTGAACAATTTAGTCCAGTTGCACCAGGTAAACATATACAACGATAACCATAGATTCCATCTATTATACATTGTCCATAAAGACATGGTGATGGTGAACATAAATTGATTGATGTTTCACAACGTAAACCACTATAACCCGGATTACAATCACATACATAAGTATTTGTATCATCTAGTAATCGACATTGTCCATATATACAAGGACATGACGCACATACACCATTCGATATACGTGTATCACAACGTAATCCACTGTAACCAGTTGGACATGTACATGAAGCTAAACCAGCTCCAAGATAATTACATGTACCACGAATACAATATGAACTATTTCCTAATCTTATTGAACATAAATTAATTGGTGTCTGACATAGAGATCCAGTAAAACCACTTGAACATAGACAAGTACAATTTGTTGCACTTGTTGTTATAGGTATACCAGTTCCACATGTTAATGTTGAACAATTACTTATTAATGTTTGACATATAATACCTGCATATGTTGGTGGACAAATACAAATAAATGATGTTGTTTGTGATATACAAGTTCCTTGATTTAAACATGGATTTGATGAACACCAATTCATAGCTGATTCACAACGAAGACCAGCATAACCAATTCGACATGAACATTGATAACCAAGTCCATTCATAACACTTAAACATGTACTATTATTTAAACATGGATTTGATAAACATGGTTGAATTATATTTGTACAATTAACACCATCATAACCTTGTTGACATATACATTGATAACCATTTAATGCTTCAATACAAACACCATTATTTTTACATGGTAATTGTGTACAAAATGTATCTCTTAATTGACAAAATATTCCACGATATGATATTGGACATGTACAATTAAGTAGACCAGGACCAAGATCATTACATGTACCACCATTTAAACATGGTGATGATTGACATGCTTGCATACGTACAGTACATGTTGAACCTTGAAAACCATATGGACATTGACATGCATATGAACTTATTTGATTTATACATGTTCCATTGTTAAAACATGGATTTGATGAACAAGCATTGATTAATGAATCACATCGTACACCAGTGTAACCAGGAAAACAATAACATTGATATGAATTAATTATTGGTATACATGTTCCATTTAGACATGGTGAACTAAAACAAGTATTTACAGTATTTTGACAGAGAGGGCCTGTAAAACCAGATGAACATGAACATGTGCCTGCTGATGAACTTGTTCGTATACATGAACCATTATTAAAACAAGTCATAGCTAAACATGGATCAAGTACTACTTCACAATTCGATCCAGAATAACCTTTTATAAAATAGAAATTAAATATGAAATTAAATCTAATTTTCTTTTCTTTTCTTTTCTTTTATCTACCTGTAGGACAAAGACATTGATAACTATTTAATATTGGTTGTAAACAAATACCAGCATTTTGACATGGTGCTGATGCACATTCATTGATATCAATTTCACAACGATTTCCTGTTAAACCAGGTGGACATGTACATTGATAATTGATACCTGTGAAACTACATGTACCATTATTAAGACAAGGTCCTGAACTACATTGATAACCACCATATTGACATTGTGATCCTGAATATCCATTTAAACAAGTACAACTAAATGCATTAATCATATCAACACATGTTGCATTATTTAAACAAGGTACACTTGAACATTCATTGATATCGGTTTGACAATTTAATCCTGTGTAACCAGGTGAACAAAAACAATAATAATAACCAGGTGCAACTTCTCGACATGTACCAAAACGACATGGATTTGATGAACATGCATTAATCGTTAATTCACATTGTGGACCTGCATAACCGTATGGACAAGAACATTGAAAACCAATACTTGATACAATTGTACATGTACCATTATGACTAAATGAAAAAAAGAAAATACTAAGTATTTATATTAATTAAATATAAAATTTTAACTTACGAACAAGGACTACTTAAACATGGTTGAGTTATATTTAATTCACAATTTGTTCCCTGAAAACCACTTGTACATAAACATTGATATCCATTTACTAATGATGTACATGTAGCATTATTAACACATGGATTACTTGCACAAAAATTAACATCATTCTAAATAAAAGTACAATTACATGAACTAAGTATACTTTACGTGCAATCTATTTTTTACTTACATTACATAAAACTCCATCACTTCCTGAATAACAAGTACAAATGAATCCATTAACTCTATCAATACATTGTCCACGTCGACATGGTTGTGTTGCACAATCATCAATATCAATCTCACACATATCACCCGTGAAACCAGGTAAACATTGACATGTATGACCATAAGGTTTAATATCATAATTAACTATACATGTTGCATTATTTGCACATGTTGTTTGACTTAAACATGGATTTATTTTTTGTGAACAATCTAATCCAGAATACCATGGTGAACATAAACATATAAAACGATTGATTCCATCAATACATGTTGCATTTGACATACAAGGATTTGATGCACATTTATTTATTTGTATTTCACAATGAATACCCGTATAGGATGATGATGGACATATACAATCATAACCATTAATTTTATTTCTACAAATACCATTTATACAAGGTGAACTTAAACAATAATCCATTAATAAATGACAGTTTGATCCTTGATAACCAGGTAAACATTGACATGTATAATTCCATATTTGATCTATACATGTTCCATTATTTAAACATGGATTTGATAAACATTCATTTGATTTATTTTCACAATTTAAACCAATATAATCATCAAGACAAACACATCGATAACCATTCAAAACTGGTATACATAAACCATTATTTAAACATGGATTACTCAAACAATAATTTATTAATGTTGAACATCTTGTTCCCTAAATATATATACACATAAGATAAAAATAATAATAATCTTATATATTTTAATTTTTCTATTTACATTATATCCAAGTGGACAATCACATTTATAACTATTAATTAATGTTCGACATACACCACCATTCAAACATGGACTCGATTGACAATCATCAATTTGAATTTCGCAATAGAAACCCGTAAAACCTATACAGAGAGTTTAGTTTTTTTTTAAGTTTTCTTTTTTTTTAATTAATTCTACCTGGATTACAAACACATGAAAAATTATTAAATTGATCAATACATCGTCCAGAATTTAAACATGGATTAACTGGTTCACATTCATTACGTTCCTGTTCACATTGTGTACCCATAAAACCACTTGAACAAAGACATACATATTGATTAATAAGTGATTTACATGTTCCATTATTTTGACAAGGATGAGATTGACATTGATCAATTATTGTTTCACAAAATAATCCACTTATTCCATTTGGACAAACACATTGTGGGCCTAAATCTGTGTTTGAACATCTTCCACCATTTTGACACTAAAATAAAAGAACATCTATTTCAATTAATCTATAGAAACAAAAGACTTACTGGTTGTGATTGACAATAATCAATAATCAATTCACAATTAGCACCATGATATCCTTGAGGACATAAACAAATCAATGTTGTTCCATTTCTTGAACATTTTCCACCATTAAGACATTCAATACCAGTACATTGATCTAATAAACGTCCACAATTCGATCCACTATAAACAGCTGGACATATACATTGATAACTGTTTATTAAATCTACACAAATTCCACCATTTAAACACTAAATAAAATATTTTTATTTTGTTTTATATTATGAATCCATTCGAAATTAAATATCTTACTGGTTGTGATAAACATTCATTGATATTAGCTTCACAATAACGACCCGTATATCCTGATTTACATAAACAAGTAAATGTACCTGCTATTGTTGATATACAATCTTGTGTACCTTCAGTTGAGCATGGATTTGTTAAACAAAAATTAATTATTTGTGTACATATTGAACCTGTATAACCTGCTGCACAACAACAAGTATAACTTGTTGATAAACTAGTACATGTTCCATATGGACCACATGGTGCTGATGAACATTGATCGATAGGTGCTTCACATCTTTGACCTGTGTAACCACTGACACATAGACATGTATATGATGGAACTATGCTTGAATTTGAAATACAAGTACCATGAAGACATGGAGAACTTGCACATGCATTATTAACTTGTTCACATCGTTGGCCAGTATATAAAGGTGAACAAAGACAAATATATGTTGTACCCGTAGCAGTATATGAATCTCGACATGTACCACCATTTAAACAAGGTAAACTAAGACATTGACTAATAACTGTTTCGCATCGTAAACCTGTGTATCCAGATGGACATAAACATAGAAAACTATTGATTTGATCAATACATGTTCCATTATTAAAACAAGGAGCTGGTGTACAATCATCAATATTAGTCTATAACAAATAAATATACATATTTTTAATGTTTTCTCTTATAAATAGCTTACTTCGCAATAAAGACCTGTAAAACCAGATTGACAACGACATGTTGGTGTAGTACCATAATTATAAACACAAACACCATTATTTCTACATGGTAAAGTAGTACATAAATCAATAGGTGTATAACAATTAACACCCGTCAACCATGGTGGACAAGCACATATATATGAACCATTTGTATTTATACATGTAGCATTTGGATGACAGATTAATGGTGTTGTACATTCATTGATATCTGTTTCACAATTTGTTCCTGTCCAACCACTAGGACATAAACATGCCAAAGATACAACATTATTTATACATGTACCTATTTAACAAATACACATGTAGGATTACAAAATTTGTAGTTAAAAAAAAGAGGAATCTTTACCATTATGTTGACAAGAAAAATTTGAACATCCATTTACTGATAATTCACAATTAGGACCCGTGTAACCAGTTAAACATACACATCGATATTCATTAATACCATCAACACATATACCTGCATTTAAACATGGATTTGATAAACATTCATTAATACCATCTTTACATTGAAGTCCAGTCCAACCAGGTTCACATACACATTTGAACATATTGTCTACTGGAAGACATGTTCCAAATGAGCATGGTCTACTATCACATGCATTTAATACTGTTTCACAATGTTGTCCTTAAATAGAATTATTTTTAAAAATTAATTTTTTCTTTCTTTCTTTCTTTGTATTAATATTTACCTGTATGACCTAATTGACATGTACAACTATAAGCATAACCTGTCGTACCTATGACCAATTGACATGATATAGCACCAGATGCAATACATGGATTACTTGAACATGGATCATTTGGAATACTACAATCACTTCCTTGAAATAATGGATCACATTGACAAATATAACCATTTATTGTATTAATACATGTACCACCATTTTTACATGGTGTTGTTACCAATGAACAAGAACCTGTTGATTGTGCACAAGTTAAACCTTTTTGTTAAAAATGATATAATAGTTGTTTTTGTCTTTTAATAATTATATCAATTTAACTAACCTGTATAACCCGATTGACAAATACAGGTATATGTTAGATTATTATTATTAATACAATTTAGTGTATGATTTGCAATACAAGGTTGTGAAAGACATGGATTAAGAAGAATTGAACAAGTTGGACCTGTGTAAATAGGTGAACAAACACACGAGAAACCTGTAGCTGTGTTTACACAAACACCATTATTTGCACATGGTTGAGAACGACAATAATCATTTTGACTATCACACAATTGGCCTGTCCAACCTTTTTTCAGAGAAAAAAAAAATTAGAATAATAAAATAAGCAAAACAATAAGAATTTGTTTTTTGTTTATAAATATACCTGTAGGACATTGACAATAAAATGAAAAATTTGCTAATACAAGGCATTGACCACCATTTCGACAAGGAGCATAATCACAAGGATTAAGTGGTACTTCACATCGTGACCCCGTATAAGAAGTTGAACATTGACAACGATATCCTGTCGTTGTTACTGAACATAGACCATTATTTAGACAAGGATTATTTGCACATGGATTTATAGATGTTTCACATAAACGACCTTAATCATAATTAAATTTTTTTCTCATTTTTTTAATATTTTAAATTAATTATACTTACCAGTAAAACCAGATGGACAACAACATGAACCATTAAAACAAGAACCACCATTAAGACAACCTGTTAATACAGGACATTCCGGATCAAGAAATGATGAAATATTTTTCATTAGACAAGTATTTGCTGGATACCAACCAGCTAAACATGTTTTTACACCATTTGTATTACAATAAAAATGACCTTCACTACATGAATTTGGTGCAATACATAATGTATTACAATTAAGACCATAGTATGTTGGTGGACATTGTTGTTGTTGTTGTTGACAATATAATCCTGTATATCTAAATTTAATGAACATTATTTTCATCAAATAGTTTTACAAATTCTATATCATAGTTATTACATACCCAGATGCACATGTACATACAAAATAAGATGAACGTAAAGATGGATCATATGCGGAAGTACATACACCACCATTAAAGCAATTTACATTTATAGTACATGTTGATAAATATTGACAATTCAAACCAGTAAAACCTTTAATTTTCAACAGAAACGAAATTAATATATATATTTGTAGAAAATAATAGAATTGCACTAACCAAGTGGACAACAACATGTCGGTTGATTAGTATTATTAAATGCTCGACAAAAACCACCATTACTACAGGACAATGCTTAAAATAAAAAATAATCGACAATAATTTAAGAAAAACAAAATTTTATGCATATTTAATTATACCACTAGCTGCACAAACTGGTTGAATATATGCTGAATCTCGAAGTGCACAATCAGTGCCATACCATCCTGATGAACAAACTTTAGTACCTGTTGTTGGATCACATGTATATGAACTTGTACAATCATCATTTGGAATACATCGAACAGAACATAGATTTCCATAATATGTTGCTTGACAATAAGTCTTCATGCCAATAGCCAAACTAGATATGTTATAGAAATATTACATTTCAATTCAAAAAAAAAGCAAAAAACATACCTATTCTTGTCTGTTCCATTTCTTGTTTCATCATAAACTATTTGACTTTGCAATACTCCAGCTGTTACCGATGGATATGATGCATCAGTTCGAAATACAGTACTAAAACGACTTAATAATGTATTTTGATTGACTATTGATAAAGGTCCGATTCTTATATAATCATAAAAGATAAAAATCTTAATATTGATAGAATTCTAATAAATGAAAATCAATTAAAATTATTATGAAAAATACAAAATACAATTACACATACATCAGGTGTTAATATTAATGGAAATTGAAGAGGTAAAAGTGGAGCTATTTCTGGTATTAAATGATAATTTACAGAACCGGTATTATTAATTATTGTTTGAAATGATTTTGAACCTAATGGACAATAAGTCCAATTGGTTACTAATCCACTAAAACAAAAATAAATTAATTTCATTTTTATAATAATTAATAAACAATTTGAATTAATAAAAAAATGAGTTTTTGATCCTTATAGAAATAATTTTTCTAGAAAAGAAAAACAAAATACAGGTAAAATATTATAATACAATTATATGTCTATAAATGACTTTTAATCATAAATGATTTTTCAATTTATTTATCAAATTCTTTTATGATTACGTCAGCTGAACTTGTCGAACTTCTAAGAACTTTTTCTTCTAGAAAATTATTCATGTAAACAGAATTCTGAAAAATTCATAATAAACTATATTTGTATGAAATCAAAAACATACCTATAGACAAAATCTAAACAAATGACAGTATATAAATTACAGGATGATATTGATGCACAACTTCCGGAATAAACTGTACCATCACAACATTGACCAGCGACAGTAATACGAGAAATAATAGTAAATTGAGATAAATCAACAACTAACATAGAAGGTGTTTCTTGACAATGGATCTATATAGTTAAGAAAAAAATTAATAAAATTGAAGGAGAAACGAGGAATTTTTTTTTCTTCGAACATGCTGTTTCTTTTATTCTCAATACAAACAAATTATATGTGCACATTTAGTCGTAATCAGTGATTCAGTGAAGCGCAATATAATTCAATAGTCTTTTAATTCTTTTATATCTACTTGATTTAAAGAAACATCATCGAATACGTATGACTTAGATTTCTGTTTTAAAAATCGAGCAAAAAAAATGTTAATTTACCTGTTCATTATTGAATAATAATAAAAAAAATATGACTGATATACTTGTAGTAGACAAATAGATGTGGTACATAGTTAATCTAAAATATGATTGAAAAATTCAAGTATATATTTTGAGATAATAATATATAAGTGGATAATATTTATCACCACCTATTCTTGATTATAGAAAGTATTAGAAATGAAAAAATGAGTATTAATTTTTTCACCTTATACATCATTCATGGTCAGATATTTAAGAAAAAGATGAATGAATGAAAGAGACAGAAGCCGAACATTTTTGTCACGTCGTTCTCTTTTAAGTATGAAGTTAGTTATTGTTTCGACATTAAAACAAGAACAGCAACAACGATGAAATAACGCCTTCTGACTTCTATCGTTATCCAAATGAGTTTGTATTTATGAGGTAGAAGTTGATGGCAAAAGTATATATTCATTGAATGAATAGACGATAAGTCGGAAGAAAGGGAGAGAGAGAGAGAGTAACTGAAAAATGGTATTGTGCGTGTCAGATCATTATCGTGCCAATAAGTTGGTTTTTGATTGTATATAAATGGTTTTTTTTCTTTCTCTCTCCCCTTCTCTCTTTCTTTGTATGAAGTGACGATTTTGTTTGTGTTCCTTTTCTCCACTCTATTGAACTTTTATTCTTTTTACCTTTCTTTTTCGTACTATTATAAGGACATATATAAACGATATTTTGTCCTATTCTGTGATAAATCTCATGTAGTAGTAGAACTTCATCTACACATAGACTCTTGTATGAATCAAATTGTAGATGTCAAATATTTAAAGTATCAACATTTTCTATAATATATCATATGTTAATTCTAATTATTTGCAATTATTTTTATCCATTAGTTGATAACATAGATTTATTCATTCATTCATTCATTCCTTATGATTATTACCAATATCGCTTGTGACGTATATAGAATAAAAGAAATCATTTTCGGGCGAGTCGAAAAACACAATTAACTTCAAATTAGTCACCTACTTACGAAAAGACATGACATATATGGACTAATCGACTAATAAATAGATGATCAACGTATATTACTCTATTGTCTCTATTTGTAAATGTTGGTGTCAATGAATAAATATCTGCTTATATACATAATGTGTCATTTCTTAATATTTCATTCAAATAGATTTATAATTCAATGATTATTCATTTACATGCAAACTGATGTATTTTGTTTTATGTCATATCAAACTGTTAACATGATTCACAACTTTAATATTCTATTCTGATGATGTGAATAAGAGTGTTAATATAAGCTAAACGTAATATTCAGTCAAATCATTAGTTGCATTAGTCATTCATCTCGTTTGTTTTTATAAAATATTCATCCCTTATCATCTATGAATACAAAATAATTTATCTTGGAAAAAAAATAAAATTTATCAATTAATTTTTCTTTAAAACTAATCACTGGATTCCGTATGTTTTTTCGAAATGATATCAGTATAAAAACTATTTTAGAAACATCTTACGAAATAAATAAAAAGGAAAGACATATAGGCAACTGCAAAGATTAATTTATAGTACGATAAACTATGTCGATCTATATTCTTAGATTTAACAAAAAGTATATATTATTATTATTTATATTTTAACAAATTACAAAATAATAAATATATGTACATAAAACAATTTTTTTGTTAGTTAAAAAATATTTTCAGTTAAAGAAAATCATTTATTATGAAATAATATACTATTCGAAGCAAAGGTTTTTACTACGTAGAAATATATTTCTATCATTTATTGTTGATACCATTTTACTCATAGAAAGGAAAATAAATCTATCTAATAGCCTGTTTTTGTCGTACGTCAATTAGCAAATATTATAAAAAGCAAAATATATATTTAAAGTCATGTATATATGTCTGCACGTAGAATCATTAAAGACAAAACCAAAATAATTTTGAGCAACAACAAGACACATCATAACGATGCAACATAATTCAAGTGATAGCAATACTCGTCAAGACTCATTGACAAATCAATTATCATATGAAACAGAGTTGACCAATCAGTAAGTACTATATTCTTTCAAAAAATGATGATCATCTAATGTTTATATTGTATTCAAGACCAATATCACTCGTACAATATTCTCAACAATCAATCAATAGTACAGATTGTAAAATATCAGTTGAACATCAGCATGATCAAATTCTACCGCATCAACTTGAAAATGCTATTACTGTACCCACACGTCGTTTAAATGAGTCAAAGCAAATTTTAATAACCATCACTTCTAAACTTCAACGCTTTTTCATTATTTCTGGTATCATTTATTTACTATGGGGAATGTCATTGATCAGTGTAGAAACAGCTATAATTATGTATAATATATCAGCATTTTATCGAGGTTTATTTATAGGTATCTTAGTATTAACTACAGGAATTAATCTATTAGTTGTTGCAAATACAATATTTTATTCTATAAATTATCTAATGCGATTATTATATGTAACTCTTGCCTTCGCCCTTTTTGGAATCGGTACGTGTGTTATCGATTTGGTATCATCAGATCCATGTAATGATCATAAAGATGATCGCACATCTTTGTGCGACACAAAAACTGCAACTAAATTGAAATTAATACTTTTGGTTCAGTCTATGATTGTTACAATTTATACTGGAATCATTATAAAATTTGCTAAACGTATACGAAAAAAAGCAAAATTAATATCATCAAATTCAAGTACTTCACATGATCATTACTGAATAAGAATAGATCTTAAGTACAAACAAACAATTAAAAGAAATAAAATATCAATCATTTATTGATAACTATACAACTAAATAAATATTTATTGTTACTGTGCATTGTAATTTCACATATACTTTGAAAAAACAACACGTTCATTAAAAATAAATACTAAATATTTTTCTTATTTTTTATGATGTATTTAATTGTTGTCAGACTTTGTTATCACCTCATAACATCTGACATGATCATGTTTTCTTTGACAAACATCTATCAAAAGTCATTATTGTCAATATCAAATAGCAATGATCCTATTGTTTAACATCCATGTAGATTGAGCAATAGGTACTAGTGGAGAAAAAGAGTCTAACGCTTTCTTTTCTTATTATTTCCAGTTGTGTGATCTATTGCCTAGATTAATAATGAATTTGTACTGAATTTTAATTAAATGACTATGACAGTACCTTTTTATATGAAAATGTATTTTTTATTTCACGAAATATGAAAACACTTGATTTTGATAATTGTTATTTTTTGAACATTTTTAATGATTAGAATATGTAGGTTAAGTTATATTTCTACTGATCTAACTTAAGATGTCACTGTTTTGCCATTCATATGTTCGGTATTACAAAAGAGATATTTGTTATTTGCCAGTATTCGTATGAAAGTGATTCATTGTAGACGCACCTTATCGTTATTACCAAACGAAGTTGATAAGAACATAAAGCGCCATATAAAATTGGATATTTCTTTTTTTTTCATATGTTCTTAGATGCCCTTATTCTTTATTCTACTTCTTTCTTACTAATCGAAGAAAATAATATAAGATTAATCTGAATATTTAGATTTATTTTGAATATTTTTTTAATATGACATTTCATCAAGTTGAACATCCGCTCTTGGTCATTCCAGGACCGATCGAGGTTAGTGATGATGTTTTGTTTGCTAATGCATCACCATCTCAATCACATATGTCAAAAAGTTTTACAGAAACATTTGGAAATACAATTCGAATGTTTCGACAAGTACTTGTTACGGAACGTGGACAACCAATTATTACAGCTGGTAGTGGTACACTTGGTTGGGATATGATAGCATCTAATCTAACTGAGCCTGGAGATGATGTACTCGTATTAAATTCTGGATATTTTGGTCAAAGTTTTTCTGATTGTCTTGAAGCATATGGTGCCAAAGTAACTCACTTAAAAGCACCAATTGGACAATTTCCATCACGAGAACAATTAGCTGAAGCATTAAAATTAAAGAAGTATAAAATGGTAACAGTTACACATGTAGATACATCTACTGGTGTTTTAAGTAACCCACAAATGGTGAGTGAAGTAGTACGACAAGTAAGTCCTGATACATTGGTAATAGTTGATGGAGTATGTTCAGTTGGTAGTGAAGAAATTCGTATGGATGAATGGTCATTGGATGTAGTAATGTGTGCTAGTCAAAAAGGTTTAGGTGTACCACCTGGACTTTGTCTTGTATGTGTTAGTGAAAGAGCTATTCATTTAGTTGAAACACGTAAAACTAAAATAAGCGCATACTTTGCTTCTTGGCTCAATTGGTTACCTGGTAAATTTGAATAGTTTATTAATGAATTAACTAACATTTTTTGTTTGTTGTTTCAGTAATGCGTGGTTATGAACAAGGCAAACCAGTATATTTTGCAACACCTCCAATTCAACTTATATGTGCTCTTTATACTAGTTTGAAAGCAATTACATCAAGACCTATTGAAGAACGTTGGTCAAAACATAAGGAAGCTAGTCTTGATTTCAAACAATTTGTGACAAATGAACTTGGATTAAAACAAGTAAGTTTTGTTCTAGTTAAATTATGTTAATCTTTTTAATAATTATCTTGTTCAGGTTCCAAATGATCCATCTGTTGCTGCCAATAGTATGACGGCTATTTATTTTCCTGATGGTGTGTCAGCACCAGATGTCATTCCAAAACTATTTGAACATGGTATAATTGTTGCTGGTGGTCTTCATAAAGAAATTAAAGATAAATATTTTCGTATTGGACATATGGGTATTACTGCTATTGATACAACTCGTCATGAACTTGAAAAAGTCAAAGACACTTTAAGAAATATATTCACTGCAATTGGTCACGCAGCCAAAACTACTGATTAAGACAATAATTAATTCGATTTTTTTTAGTCTAATATCATCTGCTTATGTACTGACAATATTTTGATTTTATTAAACGGTTCTTGGTTTCTTAGAAAATATTTATTTTTTATTGATTATGTGCTTAAATAAATGATTGATATAGACTACACTGTCGACAAATGTCATTAAAGACAGAGGAGAGGACTAGTTTTTTTGAATTTGAATATCACTGATTTTTATAATAGAATACAATCAAATAATCCGTACAGCTGCTAATTAATTGTCGATTGTGATTCTTTTTAAGAAATGTTACTTCAATAAAGTACTAAGGTACGTGATAATTCAATCAAATTCTCCGTGTCTCGCATTGTAGTATAGTTAAAGTTATAAGTTTAATTTTGAAGTTTACGGTAAATGTACTTATTGAATGATAGAATTTCGTCAACAAATAATCATTACATCAACTAATAGTTATATATTCAATGATAAAAATATGATATAACTTGACAGCTACACCATTAACATCTATGTATAACCAGATAAGATCAGAGTAATATCTTTGAACATTATGTAATTGCATTTTTTTGTTAACTTTGGACGTAGTAGTTTTATACAGCATTGATCTTCAGCATGAGTACGGTAAAATAATCAATTTATCGATGCAATATTTTTGAATTTGTCAATATGACAATTGGAAGAATGCTATATGCCATTAATAGTTTTTTCAATATCAACTTCACCTCTAAATTATATACCAGCATCTACAAACAATTATTATCACCACATAGAAATTGATTCTCGATTGAGAAAACAAAAGCTAATATTTGTATAAATATTGTATAATTGACAGGATTATATGGAACACATTACTGCTAGTAATGGGAATAAATCTGCTGGTGAGATTTTAGAGTAAACTACGTTGTTTATTCGTTCTACTTTTATTCATTTTTTCTCTTCATTAACTAATTCATGTCCGTATAAAATTTCTTCTAATACAACAAAGTATACTACAAGTGGTACAATAATTTCATCATGTTCAGGATCTATTTTTTATGACGTTAGGTTTATTGATCAATTATTTTCAATTTTCACGTAGATTTTTCCATTGACGCTCTCCAATATGCTTGCATAAATATCATATATTAATTACTATTTTCTTTTCTTGACATTTTCGTTAAACGATACGTTAATAGCACAAATTGCTATAATTTCCAGAACTTATCGTTTGATGATTGCGTCTACTTAATTATGTACTATTATACACTCTATGATAGCTATATGCTGGAGTTCCACAAACGAACTTGATCTTTATATTAGCAGTTTATTAGTATATTTGATTTTAACATCAACTTTTATAGACAAAATAGTTTGCTTTTTATTCTAATCATATGAGATAATATTAGTCTGTTAACACATTGAACTATGAATTAATGATAACTGAGATGCATAGTTTGCATAATTCTAGTTGTTTATTATTGTATTATGAACAAACAATCCACTGAATAGCTTCAACCTATCACAAAAATAGAACGAAATATTTACACTGAAATAATTCTTAATAAATATAATTTCATTAAATAGAACTTTACATCACGTAATCTATTGCTGCTTCTTATAAGGTAGCAATTCAATTAAGTAATTTTGTGTAAATACTGTAGATTGTCAGAATGAGAACATGCGATGACTTTATATATAATATTTTCGAAAAGAAAGTATTGTGAATTATGGTTTATTTTAAATTATATATTTAAACATACGGCATAATATATTCAATAATAACACATAATGGTAGAATATTTACATACGTGAGAACATGCACTAGTTAAAATAGAAAATATGTCGATACGTGCCATAATGTAGAATATAAAACACGTTTTTATTATTTAGTATAGAAAAATTTAATCAGACTTTCTATAAGAAATGATGTAAAACAGATAAGACAAATAGATTATGCTACTAAAGTGCTGAAAGAGATAAAAAAAATGATATTTTCTTCTTTGCCGTTTAAGTATCTAATAGACAGAACGAAAAATAACAACAACATGAGGTTTTGGCCTTATGTTACGCATTTGATGAATCAGATATGCTTTTAGTTATGAGAGAAATGCACAAAATATAAACATACGATAATATATATATATATGTATAAAGACCACTCAAACAAACGAAAAATCTAAACATTATTATATTTCTCAATAAATTCCTATTTATCCAATATTTTTTAATCTTACTATTGTTTTAGATATTCTAATATATTTTAATTGATCAAAATAAATGGAGAACGAAATTGGTAAGCATCTATATTTGATATTCTACTTATTGACCTAGCTAGACTTTTATAGATACAAAGATATCTGCTTCAGAATTACCTCCACTGGATGAAGTAAATAGTGCAAAATTACAGGCACTTTACGATAATATAACTGCACCAGGTGCACTTTTGGCTGAAACTACTCAAGACAATGGTACCCATAATACAAATTGCAGTACTCGCTGAATATTATTCGTACATTGTCATTGTTTACAGTGTAGTTGTTAATGAATATGCATTGAAAAAATATCAATACAAACAACAAATATACAGCTTGTCAATTTTTTACTTTTTTTTGTGCATATAATTAATCTTCTGATAACTGTATTTTAATCATATTACGAATTAATAAAGTTCAGATTAATAGAGTATTCTACTTGAATATGATATTAAAAGAAATACAAATGATAAATATCGATATTCTTGTGATTCACTAGAGTAACATTTGGTAACATTGTTTGTGCTCTATTTTCTCTTCCTAAGTATTACTATTAGATAATGCAAATATAATACAATCGTATATAATCTATAATCTTAGAGATGAACCTAATGGAATCAATACTTTTATTATTTCTTTACAAAAAACGTATAATTAAAATAAGGCAATCGATTAAAAAATTAAGGAAGCCAGTCACACATCGACACGATTTGTTTCGTTCGTTTACGGTTATGTTCGTTCTAAAATTAAAATAATATGTTATTTATAAAATATAAATATGAAAAAAGTCAGAAATCAAGAAGAAAATATTATGAATCATTACATGTACATGTATACAATATGAAAACTTTGATAAGAACATTACATAATCGTAATTAAATATCAATACAGCTAGATCACATCAAACTTACTGATTTACAGACGAAACAAAGACAATAAGCAATACGAGCTAATCATTCATTTACGTTTAGACTTTACGTTGTTGTTTTTCGTCGAAGTTCACGTTTTCGTCCTCTATGTTACCCTCATTTTCTTCGTCACTAGTATCATCATCAGCTGCAAACATATTTGAGAATAATAATTAAGCAAAAATTTAAAAAAAGCTCCTTTTTTTAAAAGTATTACTACTTTGTTAGATAGATACTTACATTTTCCTTGTCCCGGTTTTTTATCTGGTTCAAGATCAAGTGAAATTCTCTTATCTCCCTCTCCTGCATCCAACCATCGATCAACAGGAAACCTAAATATCATAGTCAAAAATAATTTTATTCAAATTTAGAACATTTCTTACTTAGATATTTCATTGCGTGAAACATGACGAACTTCAACTGAATCCAGATACCAACCAGCACCCATTCCAGTGCCATCGTGTGCAATTCGAATTGTTTGAATCTAAAGCAGACCATATCAATTATTTTTGCATATACTTTCAATCAGCCTTTACTTTGCCAACATCTACTCCATTTATTGAAAAACGATCTACTGAGCCAGATTCGAATAAATTCATGCTATGATCAACTGTTTCTTTTAAATGACTTCGTTCGATTTTATCTTTATCACCAAATATACTTAAGTATACATTCGCATCTATTTAATCGTATAAACATCATTTTTTTTTCAAAGATAAATAAATAACAACTTACCAGTTCCAGCTCCTCGTTTCTTAGCTGTTGTAACAGTTACGTCATATTGGACGCCACCTTGAGTCTTTGGAGCATCTAAATATTGCATATAAAATTAATTCAATGATATAAGAGGCAAGAAATAATGCAAGAGCAATGCTATTAGCAAGCAAAAACATATAATTGCAGAAACTATAATAAAAGCACAATGTGCATCAAATCAACCAACCATCATTCTTGGTAAACTCCGTATTTTTATCTTTCTCAACAGAAGATTGTTCACTTCTATTTTCACTATTCGATGAAGTGATAGAATTTTTTTCTTCTTTACCATTTTCTACTTCTGATATATGTTAAATACATTAATTGTTAGTATTAGTATACAAAGTTCAAACAAGATAATGTCTTCTCACCTTTTGTTCCTTTATTTTTCTTTGATCCAGGTTTTTTGTTTGGTTCGAGTTCGAGACTAATTTGTTTGTCATCTTCTTCCACATCAAGCCATCGATCAACAGGAAATCTATATATATCAAGTTTTAAAATAAAATGCTCACAAAAACATTGAATTTTGTTACTTGGTGGTAGTTCCATTGAATGTGACTTCAACAAAATCGACAAACCAACCGGACGATGCAGCAGAATT